GGGACGCCGAGACAAAGGACAGCTGAGCCCCGGGCTTCTTAAAAAGCGCAGAAAGTGAAAGGAGGACCGAGCGCCCGCCCGGTGTGGCCCGGACGGGCGGGTTGCAGGAGACCTGCCCCGCCGCGCCGGACTTGCTGCCGTCGCCCCACTGCTGACCCCCGGGCACCGCGGAAGGGCCTCCCTCGAGGGTTTCGGCGGAAAGGGGGACGGTCGGCGAGCTGTGCCCGGCCTGGCGTGTGCCCCGGTGGAGCTGTCCTTAAGTTGTGCCGAAATAAAGACGACCCCGACCAATGTTTTGTATTACATGCTCATTCTTCAGCGGACTTTAGGAGTCTCGAAAAATGCAAAAACCTTCAAGTCTCGGCACAGTGGTATCGACCGGCTTTCTTAATAGACCGACGTTGGCGATGTGTGTGGTGAAACATAGTTTTTAAAGTACTGGTGGTGTCTGAAATGAGCGTAACCCTTTTGAAAAGCAATTTTACAGTATGTATTAAAAGCCATAAAAAATGCCTGCATCTTTTGACCCAGTAATCTTACTTCTGGGAATCTATTCTAAGGAAATAACACTAAATGCCAAAAAAGCTCTATGTGTGAAGGTATTCTTCACAGGATCGCTGTATTCATTACAACAACAAGAAATGGAAGCTTTCTAAACGCGCTAATGTTGGGTGTTTAGTAAGTAAATCGCGTTACAGCCATACAATGGAACAATACGATACTCAAATGTCAGGAAGAGGAAGGTTTGCCCATCGCTACACCGGAGAGGAAAAAGCACTCGAAGTGATGGTGTTCATTTAATATACATAATGTGATTATGGGCATAAATGCTGCATTTTGTAAAAAGACTGATAGCAAACACACTCAAGAAATGACATGAATGGTTTTCCTCGCGGTCTCACTTCTATGATACTGTCCTAATATAATTATGTAGCTTTCCTAATTAAAACGTTTCAATTAAAAATTAGCTTCTACTTAAAGTGAAGTGATTTCTACTATTAGGACGCATTAGATCCCAAGATTAAAGAATAAAACTGAGCATGGGTCAACCAGCATGAGCCGGGTCAGGGCCCAGGACCACAGGAACACACTGGCCGAATGTGCCCTGGGCTGAGCACAGCCCCGCGGGTGCCGGGCTGCTGGGTCTCAGCACTGTAGGTCCACAAGGTCGAAACTGTTTTCCCGGTAACACTACGTCAGATAGCAAAACACACAGCAGAAGCAGAGGGCAGAACCCACCCAGCAGCTCTGGAGACCTGCAAAACTTAATGGCGCTCTTGCTGCTCATTTTTGTTTTAGAAATGTGTTCTTTATCGTTTAAAATGTGGGTATTAATGGAATAGTATGAAGGGTGACATTAACATGTAACAGCTTATCATTTTTGAGTAATTCATATGTTTTAGTTCTGTATTGTATGTATATTCTAGATGATCCATAGCTTCTATATGGTAGATAAACAAATCGCATCAACAAAATATCTTTTTTAAGTGACAGAACTGTTGAGTCTGAAACTGAGTCTTAGTTGGAGGATGAGGTATGTTTGGGGGCTGGAGCAGGTTAGTGTCAGAGGCTGTTCTAACAAGGTACAGAATTGCAGAAAATTATTTCTCAGTGATCTGGAGGCTGGAAGTCCGAGGTCCCTTTGGGAAAGCAGAGAGCAGAGAGCTGTCTCTGACTCTTAACTGGGGTGCTAACCCCATCGTAGGGCTGCACCCAGGAGAGCCCCTCTCAACCTAATCAGGCCTGGAAGCCCCTCCCCCAAGCACCCAGCAGGAAAGGTTTTCCACCTACAAGTTTGGGAAAGGCAGACATATTCGGTCTCCGTGGCTGGGGCTCACCTTGGATTGCTTCTGCCAGAGGACAGTCATAATCGAGATGTGAACATTGTTATTAGGAAATAGTTTTGACCTTGCGGATCAAAGGCAGCTCGGGATGTTAACTGGGTACATTTAGAAAGAAAAGGAGCCAGAAAAATGCTG